CTTTCTGAGGAAATGTCCCTCACCATGATTTGCCTATATCGACAACCCACCACTAAGGTGGATTTCTATGACCAGGTAAAACTCCTGCTGAATTCCTGTGACTCCAACAAAGAGCTAATTATTGTAGGAGACTTTAACATAAACTGGAATGATAAACAAAATAGAAAGAACTTAAAACGGATCACGGATAAACACAACTTAATACAACTAATGGATCAACCGACTAGAATAACCAAAACCTCCAAGACTATGAAAGATTTAGTATTTACTTACAAAGCTGACATAATAGTTAAAACCTACAACTTACTGACTGGTCTTTCTGACCATAATCTTATTCTTTTTACCAGGAAACTCACAGAAAAAGGTTCATGGCCACACCTAAAACCCCTGCCTTCGGTTCTCGCTTCATCCCCAAAAATCTGCAACAACGTTTTATTGATGCAGTGAAAATGATTGATTGGGGGGACACTCTGTCCTCTGAAGACATTGGTGAAAACAGTAATCTGTTTATATCTAAAATGAATGATACAATGTATTCCTTCTCAAGAAGAGGGTGCCTTAGGGACAGGAAGGAACATCATCTTCCCTGGCTGAATCTACAATGCAGGAATTTAATTAAATCCAGAGACCAACTATTTATTGAAGCAGAGCTTGAAATCCGGACTATCCACTGACAGACAGAAATGCACTCATGCTCGTAACAAGGTAACACAAACAATAAGACACACCAAAGCTAACTTCTAGGGATGTCCCGATCACCTTTTTTTGCTCCCGATCCGATTCCGATCATTTGATTTTGACAATCTGCCGATACCGATTTTTCCCGATCCGATCTTTATGCAATGCATTAAGAGAAAAAAAAGGTAACAGATAACGGCTGATCATCCAACGCGATTAATTCAGCTATCTTGGCTGTTATTTTTTGGCCTGTTCACTGTTCTGGAGCAGTTTCTCTTTCCTTTTAAAAGTCTCTGAAAGTGTCGGTTATTTCAGTGCCGTTACCTGAGTGGCCGCTGTGTACTCGTCGTGTTGTTGTTGGTGTTTGTATTAGATTGGTCGTGTTGAACGTAGCTCTGTTCTTTCCACCACGCGGAACCTCCGCCTTGCAAACATTGCATCTGGCTGTTACACTGCCTTCGCTTTCAATTTTATAATACTTCCAAACTCCTGACATTTTCTCTGTCCCGACTCCCGAGTCACCAGCTGAACGTAGCCTCTTGTTAGCTTACTGCTACTATTAGACACTGCGCCCTGCCCACTCTGTTGCCAGATTTGAGAGAAATAAGCAACCAGGTCTATGAAAACAAGCCCAAAAGAAGCAACACATACATGATGTTGTGTAATTTTAAACCAAAACTAAGGCCTCAGGATGACTTCAAGACGTGAACATGGTCATTTTTGTTTTGTAACATTAAATACAATTATAAAAATATTTTATAAAAAAAGAAAAAAAAAAAAAAAAAGAAAAAAAATCCCGATCCCCGATTTTTTTCTTCCGATTCCGATCTTTTGAATATCACGTGATCGGCTCCGATCCCCGATCACGTGATCGGATCGGGACATCTCTACTAACTTCTACATCAACATAATTGAAGGTGCGAAAGGTAACGGTAAAAACGCTTGGCAAATCTTAAATAAACTATTAGGTAAACAAACCAAACAGGAAAATAATGTTCTAGAATTAAAAATCAATGATTCCCTGATAAAAGACCATGCAGTGTTGGCCAACTCTCTCAATGAGTATTTCATAAATAGTGCATTGGACATTACAAAGCTCTTCCCGCCATCTGAGGTCTCACCTAGCCCGATTGTGGATACACACCCCGTTTTTGACCTGGAGGAAATAACAGAGGTTGAGGTAAAAAATATAATCTTAGGGTTAAAAGGTTAAAAGGTTTGCAAGGCTAGGGATGCATATGATTTAGACACCAACTTTATAAAGACACATATCGATGGTCTAATAAAAGCAATTACTATGCTAGTAAATCAATCTATCAGCACTAGGGAAGTTCCATCGTCCTGGAAGGTGGCCACGGTGACACCGATCTTTAAATCTTGGGATAAGGCAATGATGTCCAACTACAGACCAATCAGCATCCTCCCCTGTGTCTCTAAGGTAGCTGAGAAATGGGTGTCAAAACTAATCACCAACCATTTAGATAAAGGTTTCGCTCCACTCCACCCAATGCAGTTTGGTTTCCGTGCTCACCACTCCACTGAGACAGCTAACTGTGTCTTTGTGGAAAAGGTTAAATGTATGTTGGACACGAGCCCATATGTAGGTGCTGTCTTCCTTGATCTCAGGAAGGCTTTTGACACTGTTGACCACCAAGTGCTCCTTACAAAGCTGACTTATTTCTATTTTTTGGCAGTTTCGATACAGTGGGTTGAGTCTTACTTATCGAACAGAAAACAGTGTGTTTTGGTCAACGGAGCCAAATCCCCCTACCTTGTGAACCCTGTTGGGGTTCCACAAGGTTCCATTCTTGGACCGTTACTGTTTTCTCTGTACATTAATGACTTGCCTAATGTATGTCCTGAGTTGAATGTACAAATGTATGCCGATGATGCGGTCATCTTTGTACATGGGACAAACACTGAAATTATCTCATGTTGTCTCTCAAATGCTTTGGACAAGGTTCAACACTGGCTGAACAACATTTGCTTCCAGTTAAACGTAAAAAAAATAGTATGCATGATGTTCAGTAAACGACCAGTCAAAATCGAAGGATCCAATGTGTTTTTAAACGGAGCTGAAATAGAACTAGTCTCCCACTTCAAGTATCTTGGAGTCATACTGGACTTGACTTTTAAGAAACATATTAAGAAAGTATCCAATACTATTAAATTCAACTTGCAACATTTTAAACAAATTAGACCTTTCTTAACTGTCAATGCTGCAAAGTCATACCTCCACTGTATGATTCTATCCCACATTGAATACTGTTTGACAAACTGGTCGTTTGCTTGTGCCACAAACCTGAAACCCATAGAACAGCTGTACAAGAGAGCTATCAAGGTGTTTGACAGAAAGCCTTATTCATATCACTGTACCATCCTTGAAAAACACAATCTCTTGAGTTTTGACAATTTTAAGTCTTTTAAAAGTTTGTGCTTTATTTATAAATGTTTACATGGACTGGCCCCCCCCTCCCTCCCTTAAGGGAATTCATCCACAAAAAACACACTGGACGCTGCACTAGGTCAGAAACCAGAGGAGACTGTGAAGTCCACTGTAGACGGACCACTTTTGGACAAAATGTCCTTTCCATTAAAGGCAGCTCTTTGTGGAATAGCCTCCCAACTGAGATACGGGATTGTCCCTCTGTCAATAGCTTCAAAGGTCAACTCAAAGAATGGATGAGAAACAATCAGACGTGCAATCACCGCTAAATGCACTTTAACAAAGGGGTATCTCCTCCTGCACTTTATGTAGCTCTTGTATCCTCTCTTGCACTTTATATGTCGTTGCTGCTATATTGTATTACAATGTCATAAATACTTGTGTATGCTGCTCTTTTGCACTTTTTGCATATCATGTATTTTGTTTTTGCTATGTTTGTAAAATGTAATTTTCTTAAATGTTTAATGTGAGGAACTGGAAATTAGCTCAAAGCTAAATCTGGCACTGTTACGCTTGACACATTTGAATGTTTTTAGTGTTCATTACTGTGCATTGTCCCTGCCAAATAAACGATTAAATAAAAAATAAAGAATTAAATTGAAAATTAAACTGTGTGAAGAATAATTTGGCCGTATTACTGAGTTCAGAGTCATTGGCAAAAGGATAGGCTAAACTCAGATGCTACCAAATCTGGTTTTAAATAAATTACAAACCAGGATATTGCATTCTACAAACTTTCAAACGAAACCCAGCTGTAAGGGATGCTTCATAACAATTGTCAGTTGTCTGTACATAACACTTTAGATGGCATGCTGAATTGTATACAACAATAGCTGCTCTGACAACCAATCTATCCTTGCTGAGTGTCCATTTGAAAATGACATAATGTAGTTTGCATCATTGCATGTGCCCTTGCATCACTGGATGTGTTTGATGTTTAGCTCAGAGGGCTAGAAATGAATTCAGAATTATCAGTACTGTAGAATATCAGTAGTAAACTCTTAATACTATATGCCTGAATATGCTGGAAAGTCAAATGATTGTCATGGGGCACTTGAGGATTAGGATGATGTGCATGTAATCAGTTCATCCCCTTGTGACCCCCTTTTAAAAGAAAACTAAAGTACCCATGTCAAATGCTTGTATGAAAGGGAAAACAAACTGCTTTGAAAAGTGACAACAATGAGACAGACGGATGAAAAAGCTCAGTATTTGCTTGGATAAACTTGGATAAAGTTGCCTCAACAAAGCCTGAAATCCAACAAAAAAGTTGCGTTTTAATCAATTACAACCCATGCATGACACTAACAGCACAAAGTGACCACAAAACAAGAGAAAACGCTAAGCCTAAGAGTTATATTAAAGTGAGAGTAGTTTAGCTGCATACGTGCTAGTTTGTTAGCAAGTAGTTTCGTACACATACAGTAGCTAACCGAGCACGTGTGTAAGCTAAGGGAGAATACACAATACAAGACATAAAAGGGACGCTCCTCTTACAAATCTGTACATTGCTGGTTACAAATACATTGAATAAACATACACTTTTGATAGCTAAAGGATGCTATGCGGCCTATTATTGCCAAAATAAGTGCTAAGTGTTGATTGAGCACACCTGTGTTATCAATAACAGGTGCTTAACTAATTAACCACCTTTGACCGACTATTTATGACAAATAAACGCGATTAATGGCGTTGCTTGTTCATTCGGGTTGATAAATAGCATATAGGGTTTTTCAGAGAAGTGGAGACAGGGTTTAGAGCCAGGGCTAAGCTAATAGACAGATGCTCCAGTGTAATAATAAACAGTGGAATTGTTTTTAAGCTGCTAATTGGCGGCTAATGAACCGCGGAGACCGCCGTGTTTCTGAAAGCTCACCTAAGACGAAAAACGGGAGCTCGGTGTTTTCCAGGTCGTCCACCACCACGACATCCCCGGGAAAATCGTTCCGAACGGAGAACAGGAGCTTGGGCTCGGAGGCCGACGGACTGTGCATGATGCTCAGGTCGTTTTCCCTCAAAAAAGGCAGCGCAGACACGGTGACGCTCTTCATCTTGCACTCGGAGTCCTGGTTCTGGTCATCGTTGTTGTGTAGACCTCGGACATTAGGCGTTAGGACGGCCATGAGGAGCCACGCGAGCCCCAGCAGCAGCAGCGGTCTCGGCCCCATGTTGATGCTCGCCATCTCCGTTTCCTCTCTCTTCCCTGCTCGCTGTTCCTCTCGCAGGCTGCTCAGCCTCTCAGCCCGTTAGATGAGAGAGCGGCACAGTGAGCGAGGGGGAGTGTGATACACCGACGGGCTCTCCCAGTGTGGAAAACAAACGCTCCTTGTTTCTCTTCTATGATCAATCACATGGTTTTTGCAGATACCACTCTGAATATTCACTGTGTGATTGTATTGCGTTTTTAATGCTGTTGACCCCTTTTCTGTATTGATCGATAAACTGTCCAAATGGCTTTGTAATGGCAAAGCATGGATTACTAGCAGGACATGCACCCACTATGCCCTGTGGGTCCCATCACCAAATGCATCATTGTTTCTAATTTAATTGTACATGTGCAGTGCTCTCTCATAAACATTTGCATATCATCTCCAAGCGAATCCAATAAGCATTTTTAGTAGTTTGCCTGACCTCTGTGACTGGGTGGACACTCGACTGGCTGAATGCATAATTGCATAATTGATGGGGTAGATGCACAACCTGAATGTTAAAACTCTGTAGGTGTCTGCACGCAGTGACACCAGCAGATAGAAAGGCCAGACGATTTAAAATGTAAAAGGAAACTCAAGGGGATGAAAAAGCAATCAAAAGCTATATCTGACATGAAGTTTCTACCACTATACTATAGGGAGGCGTTTGGCGTAGTGGACTAGTGCGTTGGTGTTCGGATCAGGGGGTCATAGGTTCAAACCCCACTGCAGTCAGCATGTCGTTGTGTCCCTGGGCAAGACACTTCACCCCAAATTGCTCCTGTGGGGATTGTCCACAGTATTGAGTATGGAAGTCGCTTTGGATAAAAGCGTCTAACAAGTAACATGTAATATTCTCTAGACCAGTGTAACTACAACCTATCATCGGCTCAGGTAAGCCAAGGCTGCGCTAGACAGACTGGGATTTCAAAGAGTCCACACACAAAAATCAATATCACTGATTGAGCGTATGAGATTCTAAATAGCAACAAAGAGAAAACATCATATTTCACTGCACGTCACCAACTTTACAAAACACAAATATCTAACCTGTTAGACCCCAAGCCTGTTTTTCAGGTTTCAGGCTCGAAAATGACATGCCCAGAACAAATGACACTGATATATCGTGTGCTTCGTATGAGCTCAATTAACATCATATTTGCTCACTTCATTATTACGAGTCTGTGAATGAGTAAACATGTTTGACTTCAGAGAAAATAAATGTGTGTGTCTCAACCTGCACCAGAGATGACTAATTTGATTTCAGATAAATATTTGGCCATCCTCCAGGATAATACTGTACATGGTGTGAAATGGAATAATAGTAAAATCAGGAGAGACATGTACGAAAAGAAGATAATTGTTTATTAAACCAGATCTGATGCGTAGCAAAAAGTTAAATCCACCCGTGGAGTCCAGAAACTGGTAGTGGTAATTAATTATACTGCAACTGGTCTTTGTGTAAAACTGCAAAGGATGGGCAGTGATATGAAGATGGAGGGGTGCATGTACTGTAACAGCAGCATGAACATACTAAAAGTAGGCAGACAGATTTTTTTAAATAAACGGCAGCAAGATGACAGGTACGATGGCAGACCCGGCCAATGGCAGCAAGGAAATTAATGAGAGGGAAGAACTACTAAAGATATGTGAGAAATAAACCTAAAGAATATTGTTGCTTGCTAAAATTACACTAGTGCTTCATTTGTAGCAGCTGGATTGCTTGGGATTGGCTCCGTCAATGATATGTTTTAAAGATATCTTCTTATTTTCAGAAATAAATTCCGTAAATAAGCAGAGACAGAACATACATTACATTTTTTGTGTGGAAGATCCTCTGGATTTTCTCTTTGCCTGATCTAAATATGTGTAAAACTGGGCATCTTCTAGGTAACAATTACTAAATCAAGCCATCATTCATCTACACTGTCAGAGTCTTGTTTTGTAGTCAGGATTGATGGTGGCTGTATGAAACATGCAATCATCTACACTGTATTAAAAGAAGATGAATGGGTTTTCTGTGGTAGAGGTCAAGTCCCATACAGATAATGCTGGATATAAAGCTGAGCGTTGTAGCATTGTTTACTGCCTTCATAACAGGGACGCCAGGAGGCTGTATGTTGATACAGCCTCCTGGCGTCCCTGTTATGACTCATGTTGGTTGAGCATTTTATAAACCCGGTAGTAACGCCCGCAGTTCAATGCACGCAATGTTCATGTGATGTCATTTATGGAAAGATGTTCACACATGTAATGTACCACTCCTGCCTGCTTCCAATTTGTACATTTTAAATGGGACCTTAAAGTTTTGCTTTACACACCAATACATGGCAATTAATATGGTCAAATATGTTGATTAAACAAGCATACTGTAATCCAGTCTATAACTAATCTAGTAGAAAATCAAGATTTAAGGATATATAAATATTTTAGACCAAAGGTATTTAAATTGTGAGTGACCTTGTTTGTTAGCCTAACTATAATCAGAACCATACTGTAATGTTTATATTTATATGTTTGTAATGTATCTAAGTCCTTAGGTAGGGAGGGCGTCCATTATAGGTCAACTTTGAGGGTCCCTAAATCAACATGTAATGCAGAGTTAGGTGGTAATTCCCTTTGGGTTTTGCGTCCTCCTTTCCATTACACTTAAAACATAAATATATGAATATACATTTTGATTGGTTCAGCTTTAAGAAGAAAACCACTATGAAAAGAGTAAAACATTGAAAACAAACCAATACAGAGAAGAACGCCATTGAAATGGCACTGAGACTAACATTTTCTGAGGGCTTTCAGACTCTAAATCCCTTGACTTTTTTGTTGGGCAGACAATTGCTATTTGGATTTGGATGCAAAGCCTTCAGAAAAGAAGATTGTGTTTTTTGTGTCAATACTGTCCACCCATTTAATATTAAAGCAGCTCTGTGGTCTTCTTTTAACCTCAATTTCTCTCCCTCATCAGAATGCGTTATAAAGTAAAAAAAATAGGGCAATGTTTGGTATCAAAGCTATAAAAAAAAAACAGAGCAAGCAGAGAAGTCGATTGGCCTCGGCCACCCACAGTGAGACATTAAAAAAGTTAACATCGATTCAAGAGAATAAGTGGAGCAAACAGTGCCAAGACTTTCTCCCATTCATTATTGATGATGGACTGGTGGTTACAGTGGTGAAGGAAAAGTCATCAGTATTCAAATAAGATCAAGTGTTCTTATAAAGTTTTAGCTTCTGGATGTGTGTGCCCTTTTTTTACTCTGAGGCTCTCTGCTTCTGTACTGTCCTGAAGAAATAAGTGGCAGCAAAGATAAGGACAGAGTGAAACTTTTCGGGTACATTGCCTTAAAGGCCAGAGAAAGAATGATAATTTGGAAGATCTTCACGTACTGTGTCAGCATCGACTGAAATGTTATTTCTCTCTACAGTTTAGACGATAGGGCTTGCGATATCTATATTTCTCAACATGCCGAGAAAATTCCACAAAAACAAAAACACAAAAATGAATTGATACTTCATAGCCCCTTGTGATCAAAGTTTGATATCTTATTCCTTTGTGTCATAGGCAAGGCAAGGCAAGGCAAGTTTATTTATATAGCACCTTTCAACACAAGGCAATTCAAAGTGCTTTACAAAAATGGAAGACATTAAGAAAATGGCATTTAAAATCAGTCATTAAAAAGAAAAGATAATAAAATAAACATTAAAAGAAAAAATACATGGATAAAAGTTACAGTGCAGTTTAAGATATGAATAGTTCAATTAAAAGCAGCGGCAAAAAGAAAAGTCTTCAGCCTGGATTTAAAAGTAGTAAGAGTTGCAGCGGACCTGCAGGTCTCTGGGAGTTTGTTCCAGATATTTGGAGCATAATAACTGAACGCTGCTTCTCCATGTTTAGTTCTGACTCTGGGGACAGAAAGCTGACCAGTCCCTGAAGACCTGAGAGTTCTGGATGGTTCATAATTTAGCAGTAGGTCAGACATGTATTTTGGGCCTAAACCATTCAAAGCTTTATAAACCAGCAACAATATTTTGAAATCTATTCTTTGACACACAGGAAGCCAGTCATAGAGCTCCATTGCTGTCTAAAATATATTTAAAAAAAAGATATTTTGACGCACACTGTTTCACTGGATGACATTTTCCTAAATGGGCCTTAAAATGCTTATTTTCAGGTGTCATATTAGTATGTTGTGCCTCTGTGATATGTGTACATGCTTTCATGTTTAAAATGATCTTTATTTTTCTCATACTGCCTGTGCCGCAGCACCTCTTTTCACTGGCCGTGTCTCAATTCAGGGGCTGCATCCTTCGGAGGACGCAGCATACGCAGTCCACGAAGGATGCAGCCCACGTAGACCGGGTAGGCTGGACCGAGCGGCCTACGAAATGAGACGGTCTAGCCTGCGGAGCACTTCGTATTTACGTCACGTGATACGCGCTGTTCTGTTGCGCTGCTCCAGCAGCCTGATAGCAAATTAGCTTACAAGCTAACTCAGCTGAAAAGGATCCAGAAACTTTACTTTTTTACTTTAACCATTTTTTTAAGTACATTATGTATATAGCTGATGTCATTTAATCATATTATTTCATATTTATATATATAATATATATATTTATTTAAGTAAGTCTTAATTTTTCTGTACTAATAAAACAATATGTTTTTTAAATGAACAAAAGCATGTTGTATAGATTGATTCTTAAAGGTCCCATGTCATGGCCATTTCTACTGATCATATTTCCATTGTTGAGGTCTACTAGAATAGATTTAAATTGTGCAATTTTCCAAAATCACATTGGTTTCTCATACAGCATCTCTGTATAGTATGTGTATTCACCAGGTATTCACTCTCTTTCCTAAACGGCTTGTTGGAGCTCCTATTTTATAAACATGGCTCACAGCTTAGAGTTAGCCTGGGAGCAGGGGGGTAGGTTTTTGTCTGAATTATAAAACTATTTCTATTGTACATAATATATAACAATTATATAATAATTTTTTTTCTCTGATCTTATTCATGCTGTAGTAACCATTAATATATATTGTAG